GGGGGGGGGGGGGGGGGGGGGCGGCTTCTGGGAAGCAGGACTTCTTAAACCTTAACTTGCACATGAATCACCTGGGGGGCTTGTTAACAATGCAGGTTCCGACTCCCGGCCGGCAGCAGGCTCGGCTGTTAGGAGAGACAAAGCCGGGTGCTTCTCCCTGCCGAACCGGTGGTGGGTTTCTGGGGGACGCTAGCCAGGCCTGGGGGTCCACAGGCCACGCCGAGGCGCCAGCTCCAGTGTCTGTAGCTGTGCTTTCTGGGGCTGCTTTACCCTGAGCTTCACTGTGCGTCATCAGAAGCTCCTCTCTGCTGCTCTGAGATGTGTGTTGTTTTCAGGTGTGCGCTCCTAAGCGGCGTGTCCCACGCTTGCCGACGGCAAGCGCCGGTTCTCGGTGACGCTCCTCCCAGTGGCCCTGTGGGGTGGCTCTTAGTTTACAGCTGAAGAGCAGCGACTCTGAGAACTTAAAGTGCTTGTGCAGGATGCCCCAGCCTTCCACGCGGTGGAGCCAGGGTTTAGACACAGGCCTGACCCCGGAGCCTGGGCCTTAACCTCCCGGGGTAACGCGAGGAGCCAGGTCTGGACCCGGCTCGGCGGGAGGTGAGTGGGTGCACGGGGCGGGGCGCAGGAACCGGCTTTCGTGGGCTGAGTGTGGAGTGTGGAGAAAGGCAGTGGGGACGGTGGTGCGGAGGAGGGTGACAGCCTTCATTCCGATTTCTCCGATGGTTCGTGTGAGCACGGGGTCGTGGGGACTTTGTGCGGACAGGCCGCCGTGAAGCCCGGGCCATCTGCTCACGCCGTGTCCCGGGGCTGCGGGCCCGGCTAATGGGTGCCGGCAGTAAGGCCGGGAGGGGTTGGGGACGAGCCGCAGGGGCCGGGGGGGACACACAGCTGTGACGGCGAGACCGGGGAAGGGCTGGCGGGTGGACCCACAGGGTCTCATCACCGTGGGTATTGAGACCTCCTCCCCCAAGGGCAGCCGGTTGTGTTGTGGACGCTGTGCAGATTGAGAATGAGACACAGATCCTGCAGGAACGCAGACACAGATGTAAACACAAGGCTGAAATATTCTACGTTTGTTGATTGGTTGCTGGAGCATCGAACAGTTTGAGGGAGGCCCGGGCTCCTGCAGACGGTGGTCAGGAGGACTCTAGGGGGAGGTGGCGTTCAAGCTGACCTTGAAGCTAGATTTCAAATTGAAAAAGGATGCGAAGTTCTCTGTGGACTCTGTGGGGGCTTGTGCTTGTGCACATACATTCGGCCTGATTATCGGAGGCAGGTGGAATGTCCTGAACAAGGAGTTTTACTCTTGTAGATGACAGTAGGGGCCCGTTGTTTTTGTTTTTGTTTTTTTTTTGGCGGTACGCGGGCCTCTCACTGTTGTGGCCTCTCCCATTGCGGAGCACAGGCTCCGGACGCGCAGGCTCAGCGGCCATGGCTCACGGGCCCAGCCGCTCCGCGGCATGTGGGATCCTCCCGGACCGGGGCACGAACCCGTTTCCCCTGCATCGACAGGCGGACTCTCAACCACTGCGCCACCAGGGAAGCCCTGGGGCCCGTTTTATGTCAGCCCCTGTGCTAGGTGCACAGAGTAGCCCCTGGGTGAGGTCTGGAAATAGGTGTTTACAGACGTTCTCCTGGAGTCCTAATGCAGTGGGTCAGCAGAGCCTCGTTTGGGGACCATGAGAACGGTCACCTTCTCAACCAGGCACAAATCCCTTCTGTGTGTTGGTGGGAGCGGGCAAGTCCATCCCGTGAGCCTCCTGTCGGCGGGATTCTCAGTCGCCATTGTGGATGGGGAGGAGGCGGCGGGGGGAAGAGCCTGGATGGAGAAACCAGCCAGGATGGGCACAGTTATGCAGAGCAGCGTGACTGAGAGCCCCT